TGTTCGTGAAATTCTGGACAAAGTTGTGTTATCGTTTCAAAATTAAAAGCGGGAGCTATACATGCATTTCATTAAATATATATATATATTATTTATATATATTTTAGAAAAATAAAGTGGTCAGAAAGAACGCTTTGTATGAGGAGATATTTTGTTAATGTACTGTAAACATTTTATTACGCATTTTATCAGACAAATCAAGAAAATAATTATATTACAATAACTATTAATTTTAAATATATTTTCTAGAAATCGATCAAAATAAAAGCTGAAGTTTTCCGAAAAATCTTGTTTGGAGACCATTTGGCGTCCCCTTGCGAGCGGCGCTCGAGGCATCATACACCCCCTTGCCCCCTTCGCTACGCCACTGCTTTGAACCTCTCGAATACGCAACGAGTATGCTTTCAATTACACTACGAAGGCATGCGAAAAGGAGTAAGAAAGTACTTTATATACTCCTTTTAAAAGGGGACTGCGGATTAGGGTACTCAATCACCAAATCCTGCAGGTGACGAATTATCATCCATCACCTTTTCTGTTTCACACAGTATGCAATCTCATGTTGTCAAACCGAGCTAGTTTTGTTCCGTAGTTTTTGAAGTACTTTATGGTTAAAAAGTTTGTTAAAAACATGAATTGAAAAGGAAGCTGAGTCAATGAAATCATTCTGTAATATCTTGGTAAGTGCTGCAGATGAAAACTTCAAACCTTTCGTACTTAATTTATTAATATGTAAATGAATAGTTTACTACTTGGGGAATTTTTCTTTGCTGTTGCCATATTTTATATTTGTAGAAGCTTGCTGCCGATAGTGTTGAAGCTGCTTTCATAAAATTTTCTGTCATATTTCGGGAATCGTTATATTTAAAAACCTGTACCTATGATATAAATTTAAGGAAGTAAAGCCTGTATCCATAAATCTTTTATCAATTTATAATGTTCATTGCAAAGTATCAAATAAGAGAAAATCTGCAGAGCTGTTGTCATTATTTTAGAAATTTCCTCGCAGTTTTCCTCATAATGAATGAATTATTGCAACATCATTACGGATCACCAATTTACACTAGAAATTTTCGCAAAGCATTTCCTCACATGATACACAATCAAACTATTATTGTCTTGAGAAGCTGCAATAACTTTCACCCAGAAACCTAAAACTGGATTAATTGCTTCTGCGAATATCAAAAACAGGATTTATCGCAGCTAAAACATTTAACTTTGGAAAGAGAGTTTCTCATTCACGAAAACAGCTTATGTGAGTTAGTGGCAGAAACGTTAACCGTTTCCGGCACGCTACCTTTTGTTGAGTTTTTTTGCACGCTACCTAAGTTGGAGTTATGAAAAAAAAGGAAAAAAAATAATAATAAAGAATAAAGAAAAAAAAAGGTAGGCAGTCTAATTAGGCCTAAAGGAGTACACAAGTAAAATTTTGTGAAGATAGCACTTATCGTTTTAATTCTGTGGGTGTGCCCAAAGTGGCACACTGATTGAATATTTATCGAAAACTTCGAAAAGAGTACTGAAACGAGCATTGTTGCCAATTAACTGACCGATGAGATGCGGAGAAACAAAGAATACAGAATCTCCAGTTGTCCTAGATTATCGGTGAGCCCGGTCTGGGCACACCTAGGGTTCGCCGTTTGATTTTAGGCAAGATTTTAAGGTAAAAATTTAAAACTAATATAGAATAAGGAGATTAGCATACAGCAAAAAAATAACATAGAAATTTCTTTTCAAACAATTCCTTTTATACCCTAAAAAAAATCTAAAATTTCTTTGAAAAATGAGGGTCTTAAAAAACTAAACATGGCTAAAATATATGGACTGGTTTGTGTTGAGCTGCCATCTACTATAAGTAAAGAAGGTTCAGAGTAACCTACAGTAACCTATAAATCCTTTTTCATTCAATTTTTCTGTGCGTACAGAAAGAAATTTTTAGGTGTGTCCAGACCGGACACACTGTGCCGCAAAGGGTTAACTCATTTCCATTAATACCACTGCAAGAAATAGAAGGAAGAAAGAGTCAAATCATTTCAGTTTTCATTTCCGAATGCTATTCTTAACTGTCAATACCAAAAACTGTGCGGAATCCACATTTTCCACAAATCAATGCAAAACTGATAATTTCCATAAATCCTACTATTTTCTTTTACGGCCAAAGAATGTGATAAGAGCCTTCACGAAAATTTCCAATAAATGTGTATTGAGAGGAAAATAAAGTCAATTTTTCGCACCATATTTCAAATATATTAGGATTTAGAGACAGAATAAATTTAATGTCATTTAATGTTTTCTAAGTGCACAGCTTCGCAAAGAAATCCTTTTTATGTGTATATTTCTCTAAAAGGAAATGTATTACGTAAGGAAAGGTAGGGAGAATACGTAGAAGCAGTAAGCAAAGTTCTGTAGTAAATTTTTATAAACCTTATTTCGGCGTAAAGTTTGAATAAAATTTTATCGATTTCGAGGGCGTTCGCAGACACTGGTCCCTCTTTTTAAAGAGAAAAGATAAATTTGCTAAATCGAAATCAACAGTGTTTTATCAAAACACTACGTCAAACGATAGTAGCGTGTTTTGCCTAGTTAAAAATTGCATTTGTTTGTGATTTAGGTTTTATGTATTTTTGTAGTGTTATACATTGCTTCTATATATTTATTTAGTGCATTTTTTGCCCAAATTTTATTGTGTATTTTATGTAATTTTGAATTTGTACTATTTCCTACACTTAACGATTTCCCGCCACTCTGGTGACATTCTGGAAGCTTAGAGTTAATGCATTTTTGTAAAACATTTCTGTTCGTTTCGTTTATTGAGATTTACGGCAAAGTACATTAGGGCTATCTACCTAAGGGTATGGATACCTTCGTAGAGAATTTTTTAAGAGAAACTGGCTCGTATATACGTTACACATGGAGAAAACCAAGAAAAAGCCCATGCAGCTAGCCCGTTCGCGGGATTCGAACCTCGGACCGAACTACTAGTTTTCAACGACTTTACCGCTCGGCCGCTGGTGGGCGAAATCTATCTTTGAAGAGTGATTTTGCTCAAACATTCCAGACTATAATTACCGTCCTATTCAATTTAATAGCTCTATATACAGGAGGCTGTGAGTAGCCATGAATCCGTTGGATCGAGACTGTTAGCTTGTTTATGCTATCGAGCTTCCATTCTGTAGTTATTAATTCGGACTTTGCTATGCGAGCAATTTTGGTGGTCTGCGACATTCCTAGCACGTTAAGAATTTTTCTTTAGCTTTGTTCTTCTTATTGAGCTCCTTGTATCTGCTTATTACATTGTAGCAGCTATCTACCTCAATAAAAGTTAGAGGCTTTCCGGTTACCTGGCCTTAGTTGTTTAAGAAGATGTCTACGGACACGTAACATTACTTAATCCTCCTACGTTTACCTAAAAATTCACATGAGAATTATTAATAATTCAAAACTATTGAAAAACTACTTCATATTCTTGCAGTATATCAGAGGGCAAAACTTAAACGTTTCGCTGACAATTTTAGGAACGTATTTTATCTAACAGCAAGGAAAGCAGAAACACGTAGGACAGTAGCTCATATGACAAATACGAGTACAATGACTTTAAACCAAACGCAATTTTATGAAAGAAGAAATAGATTTCATAAAGATAAATGGATCCATTGGAATACCTCTCTATGTATGTATGGAATACTCGCATTAATTAATGTACAATGCAAATAACATTTATATACTTTGAAGACCATAAAAGCGTGGGTTTTTCACGCGAGAAATGATGAAGATAGATACGAAATTAACAATAAACCAGCAATCTTAAAACTTTAGATTGCAGTCTACAACACTTTGAAAGTTGTCTTAGCATTTTAAAGTTCTAAAAACATAAACTATCATATAAAGATTCGTAGAAATATTTCATCGCTTGAAGTAAATCTTAAATTTTGGGGCGGCAAAGAAAATCCTTTATTTACCGCTGTCAGATCGCTGCACCTGTAGTAAAGAACTTGAATGTCAGTTCCAAATCCTTTGGTCTGAAGGCAAATGCGCAGCGTCAAACCGATTGTAAAATTCTAAATATTCTGACAAAAGAATTACAGCTTCGATTTCTGCGGTGTTATTTCAGAACTAAACTGAATTCAGTGAATGGGAAGTACAATAACACAGCAGAAAAGTAACGAAAACTTGATTCAAGAACTCCTTATAATTAACGCAAAGCTAGGATGAGAAATAGTGAACTATAAAGAGGCATAAAGATTCCATCACGACATTCAGAAAACGAGACAAAAATATCAAAGAACATAAACAAAAAGAGCGACTACTGATAGTTTCTAGTTATTAGAAATTTACACCCTCTGCAAGAGAAAGAAATGTTCAAAATAAATTATACTATATTCAATTTTATGTGTATGATTTAGTTTAGAATTATTACTTATATTAAGCACCGCTAATTTTGCTAGCGTTTCATAAAACATGACAATATTTCCATTTGTTATTAGCTTATTAAAGAAGCTTACCGATAAATTAGATACTTTCAAATACAACATTTAGCAAAATGCCACGATTGAACTGAACAAAAATCAGCATTTTTCTATTTAAAAATATTTACAGGATTAGTTTCGAAGGTTTTACCGAACCATCATCATTTTTCTTGCTTCATCAATAGATGGCGTCAGTAGTTTAACTCCTGTCCATCTATCCTTATCTTATCTCGTAGATCTGCACTTTGGCAGCTGAGAATCGTTCGGTAAAACCATCGAAACTAGTCCTGTGAAAATTTGCAAATATAACGCTGATTTTTGTTGTTTGACTTCAAAATTAATTGACGTTATACGTTAACAAAATTCATATATTTAAGCAGAATCTACTCCTCTGTATGAAAGCAGGTTGTAACGAAATTTTAAAATCAGCTTTTGTGCTTATGTAGATAAGACTAATTCGTTTTCGCCCATGTGGCTGACCATAAGTTTAAATTCATAGATTAGTGCAATTACCAAGATAATGAATATACTTACTTGACTGATTTTACCTTTCACTGTATAGTTGTTGAGTTGTTCATAACTTGAATTGGGTTCCAGATATACTTTTCTAGATTCTATTGGCTGATGCCTAGGAAGCCTTGGCGAAGAATTGGGAGAACAAAAGGGAGAGAATGGCAGCGAAGGATATATAGGACGTCCTTCACCACTGGCGGAAACAGTGTGCGTGTCTTTAGACTTACTGTACGTAATTCTTGGCATAGAATTTCGTCCGCATCTGACGAAAGTCCTCATAGGTCCACTCATCATCCAAAGTTCAGGTGTGGACACGGAAACTTCCGGTTCGGAAATGTTAAGTGGCAAGGAAGTTTTCCGGAGAGTTTTTTCAACATTTTGGTACGAGTCTCTTTCAGAAACCTCTTCCAGTTCTTTGTGAAAAGAAGAAGTGTGATCAAAAGAAGAACTCCTAGAACCTTTCGTGTAAAATGGAGGTTCCCAAGTTAATTTAGTATTCACATCTGGTTGCCTATTCATAGAACATTTTGTTGTCACAGAACTCGATGAGAAAGATTCTTTTCCATGTCCATGGTCAATTTCGGACTGCGAAGTAAGTTTACCATTGGCGGCAATAACACATGCAGCATCGGCAGATACAGGTAATGGTAAGCCTGTATTACTGGATACTTCTGCTTCTAGTTTGTTGCAGTTATCACCAGTCGTTTCTGGATGTTTGCCATTTAGTCCGTTAAATGAAATATTATTTGAAAAAGCACTGCAAGAAGTGTTTGATACAGGATGAGTTTCATTGGGCATTAAAGATGAATATTTACAGTCTGAAACTTCATGAGAATTTTCAGAAGAAATGATAACAGGTAACGTGTTATAAATTTGCCTTGAACGGCAAGGAACAATATCAGAATTTCGTACTTGTATTAAAGGAGCAGGTTGCCTGGACAATTGTGCGTCGTTGAGGCATGTAGTATTTGAAAAAGAGTAAGGCTCGGGTTCAGGAATGGATTGGCAAATGTCATGAGCTGCCTGTGGAGGAGAAGAGAATGTTTTATCACCAGAATCTACAAGACTAAGATCTGAAAGAGATGGTTCTTTATGGTCCCTCAGAGGTTTGCTAAGCATGTGTACTTCACCAGTCTCCCTTTTAGCTGGAGTAGTATCCGACTGTGGAGTAACTGGAGAAATTTTGCTGAAGTCCTTAGATCCATTTTCTTTGAATGGACTTTTCGCAATGCATACGGCATCTTTTTCTTCGGAGTATATAGCACCGAAACTGAAATAAAATAAAACAAATGTTAAAAGATCAATAATTACAGTGCACACATGATTTGTATATAACATCTTGCATACATATGGCATTCGTAAAATTGGGCGTACGCTTATCTACAAGGATTAAAACTAAATTTATTACTTCTAATTGACCGACTGAGCAGAAATGATAATTTACATAAAGAAAGTGATAAAAGAAGGGCCCAAAGCTTTTATTTCCTTAGACTTTAATCACAAACATATATTTTCAGAGGAACTTTAAAAAGGTACAGAGATTTACGAAAACTGTTTCAATAAAATTTGGTAAATGTATCATATTATCTCAAATAGGTAAAGATTCGTTTTTTAAAAAAAGCACTTTTGATTACTTTATTATTTTCTTCAAATATACGTAAGATATAACAAAATATGACATCTGCTTTTAAAAAATAACTGGCGGCCTAAAAATTAACATTCGAAATTCGGTGCTCTCTCGCTAAATTCCTCTGTTCTCCCAATTTCGAGATCTTTCGACGTTATGTAACTCTACTAATTAACCAATCATGTATTAGCTGTACTTTTACATTAAACGTGATACAAATGCTCTGGCAAGCTAACTGCGTCACTCTTTTCTTGGCTTCCACCTAGCTAATAACTCCTCGCTTTGCTTCTCCGTCTAAACTTCCTGCGTCTTAATTTTAAGAATCAATGCACATAGAAATTTGTTATATTTAATTATGATTGAATAATTGTCTGCCAGATTAATTGGATATGTGTGAAAATAAAGACTGGGAATTCTTCAAGTTCATGTTTTATTATCTTCATTTGTAAGCCTATATAATATATAATTTATAAGTATATATATAAAGTGGTGGCCCAAAATTGTGGACACTTTTGGAAATTTTTATGTTTTTTTGAACTTTGTATCCTTTATAGAAAATGTTACGTTTCGCAAAATGCAAACTTGTATATATCATTTTAAAAAGAGAATGTATTACTGAATTCAATACAAAACTCAAAATTCAATTATTTGCAATACAAAAAAAGTTATATGTACTTTAATATAAATAAAAAAACACAGTTATGAAGTGGTTTGTAATGTCTAGCTTTCCTGGCCAATCACTGGTTTTGTTCTGAGAACCAATCTAATGTTAGTAACTGCCAGTAGAAGCTGACATCCTGTTTACACTTGAAACAATTCATTATTTTGCTTTGTTCTGTAGAAGGAGGACCTGTTTCTTATACACTGCAATTACAAGTAGGAATCTTTGTAAAAATTTTTAATATTTAGTCAAGAAGCAATGACATCAAATAAAAGAGTAAATTGGACACCTAGAAAGAGATGTAATATTATTGTGTTACGAGAAAGTGGTCTTTCCTACGCTGAAATTGCAAGACAGGTGGGTGGTTCAGTGACTACATCTGGAGTCCGAAAGTTTTGTTTACGATATCAGGAGACAAATTCAATAAAAAACAAAGAAGGAAAAGGCCGAAAAAGGTGCACCACATCTATTGATGACAGAAGAATAAAAAGACTATGTCTCCAAGATAGAAAAATGTCATCAGCGGTCATCAGAAGTCATCAGAAGTGATCTGAATGATGCTGGTGTTTCTGTCAGTTCAAGAACAATCAGGAGAAGATTACAAATGTTGGACTGAGAGGTAGAATTCCACGAAAAAAGCCTTATCTTAATTCCCAGCAACGAAAAAAAGACTACAGTGGGCAAAGGAACACATTAATTGGACAGATGATCAGTGGTCACAAGTTATATGGAGTGATGAAACTAAGATACCGTTATTCGGTAGTGATGGGGCGAAAATATGTAAGACGTAGAATAGGAGAAGAGCTACATCCTGACTGCATTCAAGCCACTGTGAAGAACCCAGTTAGTGTTATGATTTGGTCATGCAAGTCAGCAGATGGTATTGGTCGACTTCATGTCATTGATGGGACACTGAATGCTGACACTATTCCCGAACCAAAACTTCTACCTTCCATCAGAGATATCTTTTCCAACAATGCTTCGTTTACTTTTTAGCAGGATTCTGCTCCTTGCCACACGGCCAAAATATCGAAAGAGTGGTTTAAATTGTTGTTATGGCCAGGAAACAGTCCTGACCTCAATCCTATCGAAAATTTGTGGCAGCGTTTGAAAACTCTTGTCCGAATGAGGCGCCCATCAAATAAAAGGGAACTAATTGAGGCTATAATTGTTTCCTGGCATCATGTACTCGTAATAACGAAAGAAGAGCTTAAAACTCTTGTCAGCTCAATGAAACTTCGATGTGAAGCTGTAATCAAAAATAAAGGTGATAACTCACTGCAATCATCACTATCTAATGTATATCGATAACTATTATCGTTTAAAAACTTTTTTTGTATTCCAAATAATTGAATTTTGTTGTTTTTTTATTGATTGAATTCAGTAATAAATTCTCTTTAAAATGATATATACAAGTTTGCATTTTGTGTGAAACGTAACGTTTTCTATAAGCATACAAAGTTCAAAACATAAAAATTTCCAAAAGTGTCCACAATTTTTGGCCACCACTGTATATAACATATATGTATAATTTTAATAACGGTTTAATAAAGTGGGTAAATTTAAGGACTTATATTGAGAAAATCTCGAGCTTTTGCAGCTGAGATTAATAAAATTTTAATTTTTAAAAATATAATGATTTTTTTAAACTCTAGAGTTTCTGATTTAGTATTCAAAAACTGTCCTATATTTAATGTATTGTCATCTTTTAAGTTGTTTTTTATTCAGTTGTCATTTTATTCCCAACTTTCGAAGTAGAATTATACATTTTTTTATCCTACTATCTAACAATATGATTTTTAGCCCTCGATAGCAGCTAATTTAGTGCATTCCTATGAAAAAACGTTTTTAAAAAATGTATATAATTTTTTCTTAAATTAGCATTTTAATTTTCACAAACTACATTTTTTCCAAATTGGCCATCATTGTAAATTTAAAAAAATGAACATATTCTAAATAATTTCCTTAATTTTTATAGCCTTTTGCAACAATTTACTGTACACTTTGACGTGATTATAATGTTAATCTAGAGATTGTTTTAAATTTTCTGCTGTAATGCAGTAATGTACCTTTTATATTTTGAGGCCTGAATTTACGTTGTATATTCTTGAGTATTTGAGAGAGGGGGTTTTTAAAGAAAACAATTTCGTGTACAATTTTAATGTAAAAATTCTTGTATTTTATTTCCTTCGTAGTCAAGGAGGACGAAGCGCGTTTTCAGAACTCCCTAATTATTCATGTTTAATTTTTTGATATAATGACCCCTGATGAATCTGTTTTAAACATTAAACTTTGAATAATTAAACCACGGTATATAATAAATATTAAAACTCGTTTATTTTCTTATATTAATAACATTTGTTTATTTTCGCTTTTCAGGATAGTATAATCTTTCAATCATTCATTCAAGACTCGTGTTGCTCTTGTGTTATTGATTTTAAGAGCTTATTAACTGATTCAACGTATCTTGAGATTGTTGAGTATAAAGAGAGTGGAAGTGTTGGCACTGCACAACCCTTCCACTCACTTTACACTCAACAACCTTGACATAAAATAATTTACTTCACACATCTTTCATACCTCTGGAGTATGCTCTAGATGGATTTGAAATAGCGGCATTGGGGCTTTAGATTTAAGTCTACGCATTTGTGCAGCTTTGCGTACATTGAACCCGAGATTGCTTAATTCTCTGAAGACCATAACGCTCCAGACGGCCTTTCATTCAAACGACCACAACCGCCCTAAACGATCGAAAATCCGATGCCGTTTTCTTGCCTTCCCTAAGGTATGCAGTAGCAAGTGCAGTTTTCCCAAATGCATTGTATCAGTTTGTTGCAGACAACGTGTTCTAAAAGGATTTATTTGTGGTTTGTTATCTTTATTTGTTAGAAGTAGAAAGGATTTCATTTGAAATCTTCACTCTTCTTTGCGCGTTAATGGATGGAAGGGGGCATTTGAAATCTTCACTCTTCTTTGCGCATTAATGGATGGGAAGGGGGGGGGAATGCTGTGACTCTCGAAAACCGTTCCGGGCATTTCCGTATTTTAACGCACAGGTTAGCGAAGGCTTCAGTTTTCAAAGAGTTAATTCCTCTTTTATACCTTCGATTGGCAGTCAATAGGTAAGCCTCCAATCACAACTTTTACAGATTTATCGTATTTTATCAAAATGAGATAGTGATCTACTTTTTGTGCTTCTAGATATTTAGTAATCTCTGGATGATCATTTTCCGTGGTGGGGAAGATTTTAAGAAATTCTACCGAGAATTATCCTGCGCAATTTAATTATTTTCAATTCAATGAGCAATGACCTCGCCGGAACTCGAACCTCGGACCTCTCGAATACGCTCCGACTGTGCTGGCCTCGAATGTTATGCCAATAAGATTTATCACTAAGATTACTACCAAGTACACCAGATAAAAAAAAGATAGATTGCATTCCTAGCTACTAATTGCAGAAGTTAATTGCTAGAAAAGCAAAACTGTGTGACTAAACCTCTCGGGACCTTCTATTTCCGACAAAATGAAATCAGCTTGTGCACATCCAGGCATTACAGGCTGAACTTTGGTTAAGTTAATTTAATTTATCATTTGAAGCACATATTCTATGACAGTTGTTTTACTTAAGATACAGCAAATTTCTATTCTATTATTGTTTTGTGACCTATCCCACTTATTCGACAGTTATATCCGATAAAGTTTACGAATTTTATTGTGGCGAACGCCAAAAATATTTCACCTGTCGTTGGATTAAGCTTTAAGCACCTTGTCGATATTATTGTGGATAATATTGACGGTTTGTTAATAAACATCAAAAACGACAAACGGTTGCAGGTCCCCTCACAGCAGAAGAACTTCAAAATGCTGAAGTAGACTGGGTAAAACATGAGCAAAACACTGAGTTCAACTTAGAATTACACAACCTTAAAAATGGCAAGTCGATTCCTCAAGTCTCTCCACTTTCGAATTTAGCCCCATTTCT